TTGATAGGTTAAACCCTATCAGTCTACCCTTAATATGGATTAGCCTCTAATTAGTAGTACAAAGACTAAACTGCCCCCACTTAAGTATGGGACAGGAAGTCTCTATTAAGACTGCCACATAAGCACATAACTTAACAGAAATAAAATGACTAATCTACCCTTATTCGGCTAGCTCTAACACATACCAACTGAGCCACCCCTCATCTGGTAGACATGAAGTATAAACCAAAATACTCCATACGTTTTGCTCTATTGGATGGTGGTATTCCCTTCACTTAGTAGTGGGTCCCAATATGACCACCAATGTCATTTGTACAGTCTGAGGACGTCAGCATGTTGTCTAGGTTTGAGAGAGTCTCTGATACCATGTTAGATGTATTAAGTGTTTGGCTGTAACAAAAAGTAGGTAGGCTACAGAAATGTTCTAATTAAAGGGGATTGACGAGTGATCATAGAGTAGTTAAAAGAAGGAATGATTAGGTATGTGGTAATTGTCACCAAATTTGAGAAGCAAGAGAAAGAAATGATCTGGCATTGAACATGGGTTATAGTAGTAGAAAGTGATGTATTACAAACTAAAGGTGATAGGGGCAGACCAAAGAGGACATGAGTTGAAGTATTACGAAATGATTAAAGAGATCATAATTTAACAATGGATATAACATTGAAAAAAATGGAATGACTAAACAGATTCATGTAGCCAACCCCCTTTAGTAGGGAAAGGGCTTAGATGATGATTTGAGAAACAAGAGGATTAATGAACTTTTGGGGAGCAAATTCCACATGGACTTCTAGATCATCCAATCATATTGATGATTCCTTAGATTGTAAAAGTGTAAAAAGACAAACAATGACTAGGAGTGAGCACCCATTTGGCTGAAAAAGAAGGCATTATGTGTGATTAACTCAATATAGGGTTTTAGTGTGCACATATTGTCTGTACTTCTTGTATAGATGATATAAGTACTAATAGTAATAATCTTCCTGGCCTCACCTTATCATCTATTCCACATGCCCCAAGCTTGCACAAATTTAATTTATGTTATTTCCTTAATTAACTGCTTGAATTGTAGTATTTACCTTCTTCCAATCCTATTTGTACTTTGAAACCTAGATACAAAGAGGATGATTCAAGATGGACGTAAGCATGTGGGTTTCTACTTCTTTGGTTTCTCTGAATAGTATTTTGTTACACCTTCTACTTCTTTGGTTTCTCTGAACAGTTCAATGTGTCATCTAAAGTGTGTTTTTATCGCAAAAATTCCTATGTTGCTTATGTTTTCAGTTGTTAAGTGTTATTTCCTAAGCTTTTCTTGTTGGTAGCTTTGTCAAAGTTACAATGAGAAGCTAGTCATCTATGAAAACATGTAGGGAGGAAGTTTTCTTTTTTTTTTTTTTAAATCCTTTGTGAATATACTGTTATGGAACCAGAATAGCAGCAAGAGGCGAACAAGAAGAAAGAAGAAAAGGAGAGAACTGAGAAGAACTAGCCAAACTTCCTAGGGAGAAAATAGAAAGCTTAATAGACCCTATAGAAGTTGGCCCTCAGCTCCCTTTTATATTAAAGATAAAGTAGAGTTGGTTTACAAATATACCCCTGTTTATGATAAAATATAGACGAGAGTGTCCTTATTCATAAAAAACAAATCCTAGACTATCCTGCTGCCCATGTACACTCTCAACATCCTTCATTACTATCCCACAATTTTATTTGGTAATATCTAGTTGACTCTTTATGGATTGGTTCATTCCTTCTGATCTCTTTAGCTCCAGAGTGGTTCATGCATTTCTTAAAAGCCTTTTTTCTCAACTGAAAGTGTATGCTTCCATTCCTACAAAATGTTATAGTGATTGTCCTTTAACAAATATGTGTTGGAAACATTGTTATTTGTGTTTCGTGCCTTAAATTTTAGCTTATATTTGCCTTTGTAAATAGATACAAGATAGTGTTGCTATTCTTACTAATACTTTTAAGGCCTGTTTGTTTTCTCTGAAGTCTGACATCTGAAAGTGTAATAATTACATTAAGAGGTATATTGGTATTGGTGAACTTTTCTTTCCTCTGAACTCTGAATGCAGAGGATATTGTTCTGAATTCTGAAAATTATCAAATATCCATTTTGATCCCATATATGAGAGTTTTTTGCTTGTCTGGTATCATTGGAAAACAAAAAGTTGTATGGTTGCACTTTAACATATAAGAGATAAGAGGAAGTGAACAACTATTTTTCTCTTAAAGTTAAAAGATTCCTCTTAAGAGATAGGAGTTAAGAGGAAACGAACAAGCCCTTAGTATTGGTCGGTTCATATCAGGTTCCCTATTTTCTTTACTTAATTGAAAAGATATTTTTCTTTTCCTTTTGTGAATTGGTATTTCTACATAATATTTGGTGAGCATCTTCTATTTTAGGCCTCAAATCAACTTTAATCCCAATTATTCGGGATTAGATACACAAATCCTATCATGCCATTATGCTCTATCAATTATACCAAAAAAAATATGAAGAGCCAAAATGATTTTGGATTTGTATTCATATTATGTTGGCTAAAATGCCAAAGGTTAGGGCTGTACCCAGTCTATCCTTCCTATGACCCCAGATATCTGGGGCCAACACTGGGTAATGGCCATTATTCATATTGGATTGGTAAAGGTTTTTCATACCAGCTTCTATACTCAGAGTCCTTTACTGAGCTTCAAATAGCTATTATTCATAATAGGTAATGGCCATTTGTGGTGCATCACATATTTCTCTTGAAAATTCTTACACATAGTAATCCTTTCAATTAATTTAGACACTGATACAATTTCAGGTGACTGCTCGTATACTACAGGATACAGCCATGGGAAAATGCTTTGCTGTTGATAAGGTATATTTAAACTGATTTTATGGAGTATAGATTGCTGGTTCTGTTTTAGCATATTAAAAATTCACTTTCCATATCTACCACTTGATTGGGACCTAAGAGATAAGTACAAATTGGTACATCTGATCCTTACCAGTAATATGATCCAGAAGGTTTTATTAATCTACATGGTAATGTTAGAAATAGTGTCTTTAGAAGAACATGGGTGATGTGGGCAGAATTGGCCCTCCGCTGACCTAGCGACATGTGGCATCCACCTTTTCCGCTTGACACCTCAGCGCCAAGCAGTAGACACCTATCTTGCCTAGTCAATTGGGCACACCCCGGAATCAGTCCAAGGCACCTCATACACAACTCAGTCACCTCGACAGGGCGGCTATCAGCATCTCATCCAAGGCCGACTTGTAGTACCTCGTCATTATTGGTCCATGGGACCTCGGCGTGAGGAGCGGCCTCCTTGAGGACTTGTCGACCTGTGGTACCTCGTCAGTACCAGTCGAAGTGACCTCAGTGTGGGCAGCGGCCTCCTCGAGGACTTGCCGACCTGACTGAGGTCCAGGTGGTGACCTGCAAGATGTCCTCGCTGACCTCTTCCTTAAGTAGGTTATTGTTTCTGATTTCTTCGGGATCACGACGCATGACCATTACACCCATCTTTTTGTATTGTTCGCATAAGAGTTGATCAAACGGACTCTATCCCTCTCCTTCAAACATGGTGAGCGTGGTTTCCCGGGAATCTCGGACGCATTACAAGAAGATCCTAGTTTCTTATGCCTATATAAAGGCATCTCCTCCCTGAGAGAAGGTATGTGTGATTTATCTCTCAAACACTAGTTCTCTCTCTTAGCTCTCCAAAATCTCCAGCTCATTGACTTAAGCATCGGAGTACCCACCCCGGGTAAAGCAGCTCGGGCACTCTGACACTGTCTTTTTGCAAGTCGACCTGGCGAACTCGCCAGCTCGGCGTCTGAGTTATCCTCTAGCAGGGAGCAGCCAGATCGTGCATCATCAATGGGTATTCTTGAGATTTTACATGTTGTATGGTCATGTAATTATTTGCAGTTTGCACAATGATGCAAGGGTAATATTGTAAATATCCTTTATGTTTGGAGGGTTGGGTCTCTCATACCAAATCCTTCTCTTCTTCATTTCTTTGTTCTTATTCTTCTCCCATCTCCTTCTTCTTCCAACCCTAAGACCATAGTTGTCAAGGCAACACCTCTGGAATAAGGCGCTCATGGAGGGTCACCTTAGTCACCTAGGGGATCAGCATCATCATTAGTAGGTCCATCAAATTTTCCAATTTTGTATTACTTGTCCTTTGCCCTTTTATCTCTTTCCTATTGGAGGTTTGTGTCATTTGTCTCCTGTCTTTGTTCCTAGGTCTGTTTAGGAAGCTCTTGTCTCGTAGATTGGAAGACGACAATGAATGAGGAATTTCATGCTCTTGAGGTTAATCATACTTGGGATACCACTTCTCTCCCTCTTAGAAAGAAGGCAGCTGGTAGTCATTGGGTTTAAACAGTTAAGCATCGACCTGATGGTAGTGTGGATAGAAATCTTACAATTAGTGGCTAAACATTATACTCATGGCATTGATTACATTAATACCTTCTCTCCAGTTACTAACATATGCTCTCTATATATTATTATATGCTTGCTTGCCCACTATGATAGGATTTTATTTCAATTAGATGTGAAGAATGCTTTCGTCCATGGTAATCTTTTTGAAGAGGTTTATATGGAGCAACCTCTTGGATATGTTGCATGGGGGAAGGT